GTAAGGGGACAGCTAGCCCAATCAGAATCAGAAAAGGCAGTAAGGACGAGATTGCTGTCACTACGCAACAAAAGACCCTGACCAGGGTGTCCCTTGAGATAACGGAGGACACGAAGAGCCGCATTCTAATGATCGAGACAAGGTGCCTGCATAAACTGAGAGAGAGTGTGAACGGCATAACAAATATCCGGACGAGTAATGGTCACGTACAACAAGCGACCCACAAGACGACGATACTTAAGAGGATCACGAATCTCAGCACTGGTAGATCGGGCCAAATTATGATTAACCGGTAATGGAGTGTCCACAGGTTTGCAACCAAGCAAGTTGGCCTCATCAATAATGTCAAGAGCATATTTTCGCTGAGTAAGGACCATACCATCTGCAGAGCGAGCACACTCAATCCCCAGAAAATAAGAAACTGGACCAAGATCCTTGAGATGAAAACAATCATCTAAATACTTCTTGAATGACGTACATAAAGACCTGTTGTTACCTGCCACCAGAATATCATCAACATAAACAAGTACAACCAACATATCAGGGCCACGCTGGAGAACAAAAAGAGTATGATCAGCGTGGGCTTGACAAAAACCATATCGTCGGAGAGCAATGCGGAGCTTAGTGAACCAATTACGAGGAGACTGACGAAGCCCGTACAAGGACTTTCGAAGACGACAAACTTTCCCTGGAAAAAGATGAGTATAGCCAGGGGGTAGTTTTATATAAATCTCATCCTGTAAATCACCATGTAGGAAGGAATTATTAACATCCAACTGATCAACCTGCCAACCACGAACCAGTGCAACAGACAACAAAACACGAACAGTAGCAAGTTTGGCAACAGGAGCAAAAGTGTCAGTATAATCAACACCAAGTCCTGATGATTGCCTAAAACAACAAGGCGAGCCTTATCACGCTCCTTAGTACCATCAGGCTGGAATTTAGTCCTGTATACCCACTGACAACCAAGAGCACGGCGATTAGGAGGAAGATCAACAACATCTCAGGTATGATTACGCTCTAGGGCCGAATACTCAGTGGCAATTGCCTCTCGCCATTAGGCAAACTGAACCGCTTCACGGAAATTGCGGGGAACAGATGTGGCATCAATAGCTCCAAGAAATCCTTTATACATGTCATGCAACTTAAAATAATGAACAAAGTTAGTGATAGGGAACCGAGTATCAGAAGGAGAAGAACAGGAGGTGACCGGATTCGGAGTGACAGTCTTTGTGGAATTAAGAACATAGTCGTTGAGATGGGATGGAAGACGACAGGTACGAGGCGGAATGGGGGGAATTGTCGGCGGTGGAGAAGTGGTCTCCACCGTGGAGGGAGTGGGGCTGTCGTCGTCGTCGGAGGAGGAGACGGGGGGCTGGCCGTGTCAGACAGAGAGGGGGACGGGGAGGGTGACGGAGATTGTGGCTGGGCGGGCTGCTGGGTTGTCACCGGGACAGTGGGGTGACAGGTGACGGTACCAGCGGCTGGGGAGCTGGTACGGCAGTGGTGACAGGGTTAGGAGGGACGGCAAAATCGGTTGATGAGGTCGTGAGGATGGGTTGGTAACTGGGCGAGGAAGTAGGAACAACAAACGGGAAGGTTGTTTCATCAAAGGATATGTCCCTCGTATGAAAAAACGTATGTGTTTGAAGATTGTAAACGCGCTACCCTTTGGTACCATAGGGATAGCCCATGAACACACACTTGATACTTCATGGGGAAAATTTATTTCTGGGTTTAGGAATAGGATGGACATAACAAAGACAACCAAAAACCCGAAGATGACTCAAATCTTGAGGTTTAGAAGAAAGAACTTCAAGAAGAGATCCCCCCCCCCCCCCC